TCAGCTGGTAAAATTGACAACAAGACGGTTGAAGGATATTGTCTTTGTATAAAGGGAAAAGGGGCAGCGTAAATGGTATCAATGGTAGTCATCTTTTCAGAGGTGGATACATTTGTATCTTTGTGTATGATTGAGTCAGTTATACTCTGAGTGATCTCCGTATGCTGCTGTTATGTCTGTAACAGGAGGTGAAGTTCAAGTTGCGTCACAACGTGTCAGAGCTGCAGGAGGCAGTCGGCGTCAGTCAGGACATGTCCTCCCGCCAGCAGGCTTTGCTCAAGCTGCTGCTTTGCAGAGGCCTCTACCCTCAGTTGGCACTCCCTGATGAACACAACTCTACCCGCAAGGACTCTGAACAGGTTTCCTACTGCACCCACCTCAGTTTATATGTCATAATGATACAATAAAGGGGAAAAAACAATTTTTTCAATAGTGAAAATTACATATGCAGAAATATTCCACTTCCACTTTTTATAGGTGTTTCACACAAGGAACAAGCAGGGAGTGGTGATCCACCCAACCAGCGTGTTTGCCAGTGACCCAGAGGTGTTACAAGTGCCTGAGGATGACACCAGAGAAATAGGTAACACTCTGTAACTTCTTCTTCTCCTAAAAGTACTACATTTTGCTATTTATGTTATAATTTGCCTTAAATATATTTTTAAAATGTGCCTATTGTAAAATCTTTTTCTCTCCGGTGCTGTGTTTGATTCACTTATTTTATTTAAAGGTAATAACTGCAGCAGAAAGATAACACAAAAAATAACAAGGCTTATTTCCAGTTACTCCCAAGCATGACAAGAGAAACACTTACATGCAACAATACAAAGTCATGATTGGTAGAAATTTACTGTTGATAAGAATTCAATTCAATTAAATGTATTATTTTTCCCAAGTGGGCAATTTGTGCTGCAGCAAGCATAAAAAACACAAGTGTAAGAAACATTATTGTAACACAATATTGTATAGAAACAATTCAGTTAGCCTTAACAAGTGTACAGGATGGTTTGCACCAAGGCACAGTGAGCCACACAGGGCCCGTAGATGGTATAAAGCACAATGACTATTATCAACAACATCCCCTAGCAACATAACCGTTCAATGTAATATACATCACCCTTAACAGAACATGACACATCACGTAATATACATCACCAAGAACAAAACACACCTTTAAATTACAGTGGGAGATAAACACTGGCAACTTATTATGCATCATTATGAGACATTTAAACTTCTAAATCTTTTTAAGGTTCTGCTTAGATTATTAATCTAAACAAAAACTGTGTATATCTAAAAGTTACTTTTAGATCTAGGAAACACACAGTTTTTACCTGCTCTTTCTACACATGAAGAACAGTGGCCATTTTTCTCAGCAGTGGTCTCATTTTTTTGCAGTTAAACAAATGTATTGGCAATAATTCCCTCTAAAATGCTCCATGTAGCATATAGTCCATGGCCTCCTGATCTTCTGATGAAGTCTTTTAGTTTATTTCTCATGTCTCTTACTTTCACTCTTACTGTGCATGTCTCTTACCGTATCTCATCTGTCTCTCTGTTTCCGGACTGCAGGGCCTGATAGGAAGCACAGCAGCAGACACCAGCTTCTAGCCTTCGTCACTCTGTTGGAGACCAACAAGCCATATTTGTCCAACTGCGTGCGGGTTCCAGCGCTGCAAGTTAGTACCAGATATGTGATGTCCCTGTTCCCACCACAAACCGCAAAATGTTTAGTTTTTTTTTTTTTTAAAGGTTGTGTATGTTAAAGTAACCTGACATAGTGATGGAAAACCTATGTAATTTAGTTTTTAGGTGGATGTGACTACGCAGTTCTAGGAGTAGGACAAAGAGTCAAATAATGTGACCCATTATGAATTCACTGGTTGCAGTATTGCAATATTATTGATACATCTACACAGAGTAATACTCTTTTAATAAAACCTATCGATTACGGGATTAGCTTTTTTTGTATTTTTATGTATTTATGTAAGTTTTTTCCCACATATTAAAATATATATATATTCATTTCATAAACTTCGCTGGAAAAATATAGTATAAGAAAAAGTCCTATTGGAAAAACAGTTTTGCTATTTTACAAGTATGTTATACAGTTGACAGCAGAAAATGCAAATACGCTGTTAATTGTATAGAAAATGCAAATATGCTGTTAATTGCCGATTGCAAACTGGGACACCATCGACCTCTAGGCCACCAGATTTTATTTTTCAGTCAGTCAGATTTTGACACATATTTTTGTATTCTTTATTTTTTGTAAAATCAGCCAAGTTTACATATTTATTTATTTATTATCATGAAACCACCTGTACAAACCACTATTATTGTTGGAAACATATCTTGTATGATGATCTTTTCCATAATTCCCGCATCTGGTCCGTTCACGTATCATGTCAAGTATTGTGTGTCTGCATGTGCTCACTAGGCTCTGCTGCTGGTAGCAAACTCTGTGGACAGTAATGCTGACTGTACGCGTCTGGTGGTAGACGGCTGGCTGGAGCTAGAGCTGAGGGAGCCAGAGGAGGCCCTGAAGGCGCTGTCCACAGCTCTTACCCTCAGGGCAGAGTGGGAGCGCCTGCTGTTGGTCCAGCTGGGACAGAGCACAATGGGGGGACCAGCAGGCCAGGGGGTGTCCCGCAAAGTCATGGAGAAGCTGAGTGAAGGCCTGGTTCGCTTCCTGCTCTACACAGAGGTACTAATGCAGTGACGCCCTGGTTATTACATTATACAGTTGTTTGAAGGTTGCCTCATATTTTGGTAAATGTATGTTTTTGATTTTTCACTGCTTTATTAGTAAGACTAGGGCTAGTTTAGGCTTGAACTTTTTTTGCAAATAGGAGCAGTATGCCAAAATTTGAAAAACAAGAGTTACTATCAGCCATTTGTTGCAGGTGAGATTTAACAAATAATTAAGAAGTTTTAAAGACATGCCACCAGAAAGTAAATAAGTAAATGCAAAAAGAAGATTGCTTGTTTTTATATTAAAAGTAAAAATACAGAGTTTAAAAAGGTAAATCAAGCCTAAAACCTTGAATATATCATGTTTGTGTGTATTGTATTTTTTCTACTTTCTAGACACTCTCAGTGACTCAGATGCTCATTCATCTTTATATAACCTCATTTAATACTCTGTCTGTACTTTCTGTGTACTTCTTACCTTCCCACCCAGGTCAGTTACAGCCTACGGCGACTCACAGCTTTCCAGACTCAGAACCTGTACATTGGTCCTCAACCTGAGTCTGAGCTGTCTCACACCAAAGCTCCAGATCTAAACCCACTGTTTCCAGGAGTTGAGGCCAAGCCAGACCCCATTAAAGGAGGACTGCGTGTCACCAGCTTCTTCACCTACAACTGCCTGGCTGTGAGTCTGTCTGAAACAGTGGAAATCTAGCAAAGAGACGAGAAAAATCATTCATGCGTGTTTATTTTGTGGAAAATTGTGTGTTTTTAGACTTCAGGTGAACTTTACCAGTTTATGTATGTGAACTGGTACAGTATTTTATTTGAATTACTGCCTCATTATCTACCCCTACAATCAAATAAAGATAAAATTTCAATTTTCCAAGGTGATGCTAGTGACAACATGCATTTTGTGGCTGTTTACTCTTTCTTAGATACCATGGTTGTATCCTTGTAGGTTGTATTTATTTGTTGCCATTGATCTAGCCGTTGTCACAGTTAACATACAGAGCATTCTTGGACGTTTGTACACTGTATTGTCCCTTCCCACATTATTTATCACCTCATCGTCCTCCACATGAATACAGACACCATTAAAATGGAATTTCTTACCTACACATAACTTATGTTAGAGCCCTACATTACCTAAACAACTGAATTTAACTGCTCCAACAGAGCTGCTGAACAGACTGGCTGATCTTACACAGGGTAAAACAGAGTGTCATGTGGTGAATTTCCTGAATAAGTAAAGGTTACAATTGGATAAAACAAAATGAAACAGAGGAGTTTAATTCTCTACCAAGACTCCTTCCTTTTAAAAAGCTTTACTAAATGCTAGCTAGTTCTAGCTGTCTTATTGATTTAATTTCTCAAACTGATTTTTTCCCCCTTAAATTAATATAAGTAATTTTGGAATTAAACCATTCAGGCTCCCTTGTCAAATGCGTCTAACTTAAAAAAAAAAAAAGTGTAATTGATTCTTGTGGTTCCATTATATGATTTTGCAGGACTCAAAGGATCTCTACAGTGAGTGTTTACGCACTTTCTGGACTTGTCCTAACTGTGACCTCTACATGCCTCTGACTCCATTGGAACGCATGCAGCACGAGGCCTCCTGCAGGCCAGCAGAAGAACAGCAGCCGAAGGAAGGTCAGGAATTTCTTTTGTTGATATTTATTGTGAGTTATTTTTTAATATTAGATTACTTTAACACATGCACTAGCTAACACATTAAGCAGCCGACTTGATATTTCTTTTCTATAAGTTGAAAGAGTTGAATAATAGGAAACTAATTGTGGGTTATGTGTTGTGGTTTTCAGAGCCAGAATGTGGAAAGGCAGGCTCCTCCTCTGTGTCCAGTCTTACCAGAGTTTATCATTGTGACGTCTGTAATGAAGACCTGACTCTCACCTCCACTGAGATCCTCAAACATAAAAGGCAGCACATGTATTCTGCCAAGTAACTGTTTCTGTTCTGTCGAGGAAAGACTTGAGTTTCTAGAATAAAGTTGTTGTTTTTTTAATGTAACATTTGTATCCCTCTAATGGTCAATGTTATTTGGTGTTGCCTTCTGCATAGCTATGTTCAAATAGGAGATATCCACATTCATAAAAACTACTCTCGCAAAATATTTGTTACAAAATTTAAACATATTCATTTAAACAGTGCTCAAACAAAATAACACATTTATAGATTTTCTTTCAAATTCCTTATATAGCATTGTGGAGTACAACTTTCACACAGTGTCTGGGGAAAAGGCACAGTGAGTTAATGACATGCACATGTGAGAGAGAAGTAGACACTGATTTAAAATATAGAGTGAGGGTTTAATAATGATACAAACCCACGATATGTAACACCTCAAAGCAGCACATTGGCACAAAGTCAGAAGTAAGACAGCACGGAAGATAAAACCTGTCTCAAAAAAATAAAGAATCAGAATAAATATCTCAATAAATAAATAAACAGGTAATATCTCATTAATTACTTTGAAACTAATAAATACGTACATTTGAAAATATGCACATTGGCAGAAATCAAGAACCCATAAAGTAAATAGTACTTAACACAGAGTTACTTAAAAATCATAAGTTATTGATTACTCAAATCAAAAGGCACATTTATTAAGATGTAAGAATGGGGCCTGCAATTGTGATCGCATGACTGTCAGTACTGTACTCTTAACACCATATCTGAACCAGAAGTAGCAAACTGTGCAATGGCTTTACTAGTACTGTATATCTGCACCATTGAGTGAACATGTGTATCTGTGTGCAGGTCTATGCATTGCAGAATTGTGGGGTGGGTGTGTGTGTGTGTGTGGGGGGGACGGGGGGTTAATTTAGGATCAGGTAATGCCAGTCTTGTGACTGACTGAGTTATGTTTCCTGTCACTGTGACAGAGTGTTTTGTTTGTTTTTTTTGTCCTTCTAAATGGACCAACATTGTTGGCAGGCTGACCTAGTAATGAACACGACCGCCCCATAACGAGAGGTCAAGGGTCGTGTTCATCAGTCATGTGTCCTGACTCTGAACCCTACTTCCTGTTCACTCACTTTAAGTCACTTTGGATAAAAGTTCTTGGCTAAACCTAAAATGTAAATAATCTGGTGAAGCTTCTGAATGGTTCATTCTGCCATAATTCAAGGTCTATCAGGTGAACCTCCATTTGAGACATGACACTGTAGTAAAACTAGTCAGTGTTTCCTTATATAGCATTTTTTAAAGGAAAATGCCACTGGTTTTAAAAGACAAATCTCCCCACAGATTCTCTTACACTGTTAGGATGTCATCATTCTATGATGTTCAGAGCATTTCAAGTGTTATTTTGACATTATTTGTTGTCATTTATTCTTCAGTGTTCCCGTTTTTACTCACCCTACATACCATCTACCTTGCTTTACGATTTGAATCCAATAATAACGGTGATTGGAATATTACAGCCTCAGGTTTCAGTCAACAAATAAAGCAATCCTAATGTAAAAGGCAAATTTAGTTACTATTGTCTACCTCTTTGATAATATATATAACTTGCATTATTGTTAATACACTGATGTAACCTGGAGGTTGCACAAAAGGCCCTTGCTCTTCGATTCTGAGGGACTTGCACAAAAAACTTGTTTATGTTGATATACCAAGATTTTTTGATTTAACATTATGTTAACAAAATCTGTTGGAGCTGTGATGGAAATAGCTTTTAATCTACCCATGGCCACTTAGTAACTGAATGTAGAAAAATATACAACCAATCAGCAAAATAGACACATAAATGCAAGGTACATCACCGGAAGCATTTTTAAAAATGTCTTGGGGTGAATTTATCTTCAAGACCAGCTGTAAATGTACAAAAAACCTTACTCCCACAGTCTAGCATCCTCAGCACCTTGGGCAGAAGGATTGTTTGACTCTGCCACACACCTCATCAATTGCTAAGATGCAGCAGGAAAGTTTTAATAGGGTTAGGACAGGAGTTAAAATAGCAGCTTTTTAACTTCATACTTAAAGCAACATTCAGCAAACACATCTGCCACTGTGCCCAAACAAAGACCTAATGCCATTAATTTTTCAAGTTAATGTGTCTCTTTTCTTATCACAGGGTCAACAGTCCATGTACAGCACACATGTTGAAATGTCACACCTGTGCGCTACCTGCTGCTGCTCTCAGACAAGTTTGTGTTCCTATTTATCTTTTCTGCTTGATATCGAACACAATAACACACTACAGTATTCAACACTTTTCAATTTCCGTTTAGTTTTTCCTAACGTCTGGTAGCAACTGGTACAAAAATACTCTTTCATTACATTGTTCATTGCACTTAATTTTTTTTGGTGGCGTCTCATTCAAAGGCCTAGACACATCTACAGATTGGTTAGCATGGGGTGCTGTTTTGTTTTTCTTTGGGGTTCAGAATGTACGGTCATTGTGTACATTAGGTAGAATAGACTCACTCAGAGGCCTCAGTTGTAAGCACCTTGACTGATTCAACAAGTACAGTGGTGAGATGTGATGTTTTCTATGATTAATATTGAAAATACATGGAAAGATGAAAAATATGTGAGGGTGTTTAATGTTCGACACACATTCTTGATTTTTTTTTTTTTTCAAAAAACAAAATTAACCTTGTGTTTGGTTACAAAGGACCATAATGAATCACATTATGACTTTTAAGTCTTTGTGTTTGTCATTGCAACTTCCCTTAACAATAATTGTTCCTTTGCATTTTCCACTGGGGTTTACTCCTTTGACCAAAAGACAACACCAGTGTTCTCAGATGCTCATGCTTTCTTGGAGACTGCACTCACTCATGCTCGCCCCCTCCTATTTTTTCATTTCTTACCCAGGGTTTGAGTAACATCTGAGGTAAAATTAGAGGTAAAGGGTGACATCTGTTCATCTGACTGATAAACAGGCCAACATTAAACAAATAACTTCCCCAAGGTCTCATGTTTGTGAATACGTGATAGTGTGTGCCATTGGGGGATTCTGTCAATATGTTTTACATTTAATAAAATATACCAATTAAAATTATAACAATCATATATATAAACATATTTACTTTTTGTGTTTTTCTTTCTAAATAAAAAAACAAACAAACAGACATCTGAAACAGTGTACACATCATCGTTGCCTCTACCACTCTCTTCCTGTGATAAAGTCTCTGACCGCTAACTCTCAGCCAACCCTCATTAAATCCACTATGAAGGCTTCAGATGACTCCAACAGAGCCTGGTCTGAGTGCAGTGCACCTTTAACGGGCATGGACCAGTGAGGAAGGCCCCAGGTTGAAAAGAGAGAGCAGAATGCAGCGGAAGGCCATGGGGCTTTGGAGGGCCACGTCAGAGGTCTGGGTCTACTGAGAGCACTGTTCCGCCTGAAGCTCCACCTCGTACGTCCCAGCAGGTGCTCTCTCCTCTCAACACCCAAACCTCCTCGGTCCAGGGAACCCCTCCCACCCGCTAGCCTGGCCTCATCGGACAGCCTTGTGCTTACCCCCACAGCAGCCACACCTCTCCCCACACCGCAGGCAGGCGCGCAAAGGCACGTAGCAGCACATGCAGGGTACGAAGAGCGACAGGGCCAAGAGGGCCAACCAGCGGGCACAGCAGAGGGGGTGCGGGTGGCCCCCCATCGAGTCATCACAGGAGCAAGGCTCCCAGAACTCTCCCTCAGAGTCCGACATGCAGTGGTAGAGTAGACTCTCAGCACACCACACACAGGTCCACTGGCGCAGGCAGTGCAGGGCTGGGTCTGGGGCATCTCTGCAGCGGCCCCGCCCGTTCTCCGAAGCGCTGAAAACAGAGCGGCAGTACACACAGCGAGAAGAGCATGACGACGAAGCCTGAGGACAAGGGCTATCGTCGTCGGGGGAGATAACCCCGGGGTCGCCACTGCTGCTGGCCCCTCCTCCTCTCTTACGAGTCCGCGACCGGGGCGTGGCCAGTGAGGTGTGGATGCAGCAGGGAGAGGGCGAGCCTTTGCCCGTCTCCTGGGGTGAGCCAGCACCTGAGGACATGCCTGACACAGCGTTGGGCATGGACATACAGGTGGGCGATGACGAGGACAGACGCTGGGAGGCTTTACTGTCCAGGCTTACTGTCACTTCACAGCCTGCCGTCCCCACTCCTGCCAGCTCCTTCTCGAAGCGAACCACGCACAGCTCTGACTTGTCCTGCAGACTCCCTCCACCACTGACAACCACACCCCCGGTCAGCCCCCCGACCATAGTCCTGGTGGCCCCCGCCCGTCGGTAGTCCTCATAACCTCGAGAACCCCACAGGTCTTTGCAAGGGTCCACACTGTGCAGGTCACCCTCCTCCAGCAGAGAAATGGTGGGTGAGAGGGGTGACAGAGGAGATGAGGGCGGGGGACCCACAGGAGGAGTAGGTGGAGCAGGAGGTGGGGGCGGGGGCGCTGGGGGATTCAACACAGGTGTCATTTGTGAGAGCTGGTGCTGTCCTGGCCTGGTGTGGATCTGTGGAGAGGGTAAAGGATTACAAAGTCAGGTAGGAACAGTGTGTACTGAAGTTGCAGTTACAGGTTTTCATCTCTAGGATATCTCAAATAGGTATACAGGTAATCTAGAATCCCAGAGTTGACAAGATTTAGTTCTATGTGATATCAGTGGGTCGTTTTGTTTGTACTTTAAATAAATGCGCAGGTATGGACTTAAGGGTGGATTAAAATCAACCAGTCAACCTCCATGTTTTGTTCATTGCTCTAGTGTCTAATAATAATACATTTTAAATGGGACCCAAAGTGGTTCCCAGGCCACTCTTTAAGAACTACCCTTTTACAGTAAATCAACTTCTGTCTGTTCCTTTGAGCAATTTGTTGACACTGAGGTACCAATGACAGACTTAGAGCACAAGGTGTTGTGCTACCTGAGCCGGTGTCTGAGTGGTGACGGCATGGCTGGAACCAAAACTAAACTCTTCCGGCCGCACGAAGCAGGTAGAAGACGACTCGCTTGTCACTATGGTGATGGGTTTGGGAAGCATCTCCTTTCGGCTGTTGGATGACGACTCACTTCCTGTATGGGACTGGCAGAGGCTGCATGTCATCCCACAAGTCAAAAACATTAATAACTGCACTGGGGTCCAGTGGCAGTGTAAACGAGCCCTTTTTTACAAAATAAATGGTCAAACAACAAACTGCTCAGGTACTCACAGCTTGTCCGTCATCCTCCGTGTCTGCTTCCTCTGGTGTGGAGGACGAGGGCGAGTCAGAGCCTTGATGACATGAAAAGAGAGGATTTAGGCTTTGCTAGAGACTTTCTAAAGCTAATTCAAACACAACTAATGACATCAGCTTTTATGTGACTCTTGTATTTGTACCTCTGTCAAGCTTGTCTATGACGGTCTGCAGCCCTTTCTCAAAAGAGATGGCATCGGCAGGACTCTGGAACGTAAGGCCAAACTTTCGATCCTCTACTCGCCAGTGATGGAAGATGGGGTTCACCTTGTTGTACACTAACCCTCTTTGCACTGCACACTCCAACACTGGCTGAAGACAAACATAGCAATGCCGGCAACATAAGAAGTTAGCTAACCAATCAAGATGCATCCCCTACTCAAATTATGCCCTCACATAACATGAATCTACAGTCTTTAGGTGGTGCTGAGGAGCAACGTGGCACCAAAGACAGCCATAACACACGCACACACTCACTGCTCGATCTCGCAGCCGTTCTCCACGTATGATGTATTCTCTCCTCCCCCTGCCGTCATGACTCCGCCCCTTACATATGACCACATGACTGAGGCCGCCACCTCCAAGGGGCACCCAACCGCCACTGGAGTCATCACGTGTCATCACCACTGCACGAACACGCACACTGTCAGGGAAGCCAAGAGAGTGAGCAGAGGCCCAGGCTGATTAAACAACACAATGAAATACACTGACACACACACAAATACGCGCAAACATTCAGTTGAAAAAAGTCTGGATCAACTTCCATAATACAAAAATGCTGTACAAATTCCATTGTAATGATTTGCTAAGGCAACTCTTTTCAGCTCTGTTGAAGTAAGACTGCATGATAAAATTCACACAAAGAAGACAGAATTGGCAGCTTCAGTAGCAACTCAAAGGCATATCATAGAGTAACAGTAAAGGCAGTTTGTAATAATCAAGGGCCACGTGATTAAGTGAAATCTTACTTTTAATTAGCGTGTGATGACGGTAAACAAATAGCCTATACAAAATATTTGGATAGGTCTGGCCTGGCGTTATTTAAACATTTGCTGCTAGGAGAACATGAGAATTGGGATGTGTCAGCGTGCAAGTGACCGTAGGCTATCTGACAATAAAGGAAGTATCGCGCAAATGGATAGAAAGAAAGTCAGCGGTGAGGAGGAGAGAATGGCCAAATGGGAGGAGGGAGGAAGAATGAGTATTTCCCACATAGATGTATCAATGAACGCACCCATTCGCCATCAGAGGCCCCGGCATTCTTGCAAAAATAAGCTCTGCCCTCGCCAATCGGCTGAATAATTCAACACCGCAGTTCGACATGTGCATGTAATGCATGCACAGTCGCGTTATTTTTAAATCACACTGAATTTTAATTGTTGCAATTATTTTCCCAGACGCTTCTTTTCTCCATTCCGCCCCTGCTGCACGCACTCATTAACAAACCCCGATATTATGTTATATTTTTTATGAATGGGATAGAGCAAGGCTGGATTCGACATCGCACTGTGTGTTATACATTTCACCGGAAATGTTATTAGGCCTGAATACAATGCAATCGCGTGTGAAAAAGAGAAGGAAAAGGAACGAGTGGGTGAGAGGATGGGAGAGGAAACGAGAGATGGGGGAGGGGGCCGATTGGAAAAGGGAAGGAGGAGAGGAGGGGTGAGGATGAGGGAGAGCGAGCGAGAGAAAAAAAATCACATTTCATTCATAAAGTTTGGCTTTAAAAAATCATAATGAAACCCCGAGACACGTTGATAAAAATCACAACGCCTCCATCCCTCCCTCGTTTTACTGTAGCCATGTCTTGAATGACGCGATGTTGGCCCCAAACTCGCCATATTTCGCCTTTTTTCCCCCCATACATTTTACACATTGACTGATTTCGTGACTGTTTTTACCAGTCGCTAACCACGCATTTAGTTGCGAATTATTGCATAGCTTCTGTTATTTAATGTGTTTTCATTCTTATTTTTTAGTTTTGTGCGTGTAGATTGTGTGCCAGTCGTCTAAAAGCATACTTCCACATGTAGCCTAGGTGGCTTAACATTTATGACATATTGGCATGGATATATCGGAAATGGGGTGTATGCTGTTGATTCAAGACTACGTAATGGTGTTTTTATTCTCGGCAGCCTGCTAAATTGTAGAGCACCGATTGTGATAGTGCATGGTGCTGGGTTGGTGTAACACTGATGGCGGTGGCGTTCTTTCTATCTGTTTTGGCGAAAGGCTTAATATATTATGTGCAATGTTAAAAATGAAAATGTAAGGACTTACTCGCCCTCCATGGCTCGGTGTTGCCCGCCGCTTGCAGCAGCCCACCCCAGGGTCTCCTCTCTCTCTCTTTTTATCCTCCTTTCAGGAAACACTCACAGACTCACTCACATTCTCTCTCTATCTGCTCTCATTTTCCTAATCTTTCGCTCTCTTCCTCTCTCCCTTGCTCTCGCTCTCTCTCTCCACCTTGATGTCGTTTCGGTGTATCAGGATAGGCTTGAGGTTGCAGCAGCCATTTTCCGCTGGCAGCATCCTCCCTCTCTCTCCCTCCCTTCCTCCCTCTCTCCTTCCCTCCCTCCTTCTCACTCTCTCTCTCTCTCTCTCTCTCTCTCTCGCTCGCTCCAAATCACTCCCTCGCTTATTCTCTTTCTCGCTCTACCTGCCCTGTGCCAACACATCCACACTAATCATTGACAGCATCGTGGCGTTAGATGGGCTATAGGCTTTGTCGGTGTAACCGTGTGGTTTTAAATGATTGAAACTGAGCACTGAGTTGCTGAGAGCTACATGAAGTGACGTGGGTGGTCAAATGAAAAGCTTGGTAAACCGTCAATGACCTCCGGTTGATTGGCTACACAAATTATATAGGCTACAGCAAACATTAAATAGGTCTACGGGTAAAATAAAATTAGATTTGCCCGTTGTGTTTTTAAATTACACAAGCACACGCCTGGCTTGTTGTATTGCTATAGGCTATATTATGTAGTTGTCCGTCATAAGAAGGAAGAAAAACACAAAGTTTCAGTGTCCTATAGGATCCTCGCGTTGGTGCTCGCAGCGACAGAGGTTTCAGCACCATGGACAGCAATAACTCTCTATATTAAGTAACGACATCTTCAAACTTTAAAAACACGTTTAGTTTGATTCTTATTTATTTGTGAAATTACCACCCCATATTTGAAAATAGCACCGTGTCTCTGGTAAACTTTATAGATTCTCTAAGTAGGCTATAAGTTACTTTATGTGACTTTGTGGTGTTATAGCTTATACGAACCTGATGTTTTAGTGAACATTAGACTCATAACTTATCTCCGGGTTTATGGAATTACACGAATTTGATGCAGGCATCTTCTGTAGGCTAAATGTAAACAGTAACGTTAGCCTAGCTTACAAGCTACAATAAGCATAGGCTACAACACAAATTGTTAGCTAGCACTGGGGCAACGGGCATTTTACGGTGCGCAGTGGGTTAAAAGTTCTGTGGTTTAAAGTAACAAGTCAACAAATTCAACAATAAGTCAAGCGGCGCCAACAAGGCAATTCTGCCAGAAGGTTGCTTACCGTAAACCCCAAATGGCTCGTTGGTCTAGGGGTATGATTCTCGCTTAGGGTGCGAGAGGTCCCGGGTTCAAATCCCGGACGAGCCCGTATTTTCTTCTCTCTTTGAACTTGCGGATATGGAACTGGTCACAATGATAGACTGAGTGCTGTTGTGTTTTTTCACTGATGTCCTTGTAGAAAATGTTATAACGCATGCTGCCGACATATCACATGAGTCTAACCTTGTTCCTGAAAATGATCAACGATTGAATTAATAGCAGGCCTACATCGGGAAAACTCCACATCCCGGTCCAGATGATGCCCATAGCTTCCTGCAGGTGACAATTTCAAAACACAATTTTCCTTACGTGGATTAAGTACACTGGTGAATCTGTTATGATCAGTCACATAGGTAGCCTAATTATCATGGCTTTAACATTTACAAGCATATGGCAGGCATTCTGCTCCATCCATAAATTTGTGGGCGTAAGGCTACGTAGTTATATTTCAGCACAATGGACAGCGCCTTACTAACATAATCGTACATAAATAAACACCTATAGCCTACTTTTGGATGGTTCTGTCTTCATTTCTACAACCAAATTTAAAGTTATAAAATCATGATAAAATATTGCGTGGTATCAGTAGCCTAGTCCACAATAATTTAATAACTATAAAGTATAGGCTACTATGGTTCTGCTTTTTTGTGTACAAAAAAGTTACTTGACATGAAAAAAGATTTTTCGGTGATTGATCGAATTGACCCATCACTTTTTAAAAATTATATCATTATGAAAATTATTGGGGGAAAGACTTGACGACCAAACTGACAGCTGTTATGATATAACGTTAGGCTATTAGATATACCCTACGCTGAAGGTCACATATTTTTATTCACTGCAGTTCCACAACCACCTCCGGCCCTCTGTTTCTTTGTGTTTGTTACTTACCCTATTACCTTTTGCAGACAGAAGAATGAACATGGCAGCTTTATTCTATTTCCAGACACCCAGAAACGTTTCAAACTTCCCCAGGATTTCTGTTTGTTAATTGAGGATATTTGATTAAACACAACTTTATTTAGGAGTATGCAATATTAACTAATTTATTAACAAGATATGGTAATAATGCGGCACCCATTAGCTAACCTTGTAGGCTAACTTAGACATAAAAATCAACTGATATGATAAACATAAACAACAATAAACATTTGATGTAGCAGCTAAACATCAGCAACACGGATGTCTCGTTCGCTCACAAATTCGTTTGTCAAAACAATTTGTCTGTTAATCTGATAAATGTCAATGCTCCCTTACCACAACGGTTAGTTTGCTTAAACAACTCAACTTGTAAAACTAAATAATCTGACCTCAACCTTTTAGTGAGCTAATTATAACGTTACGTCAAATTAATGTAGCTTGAATGTCGACATTTTTTTTTTTGTTGCAAACGGTTGTAGGCAACCGTTACAACTAACGCAAGCTAACGTTAGCCTACATTCCTCAACTTTAGTTACCGTTAATTAATCAATAAGTCAACATACGTGGTGCATGTTTCTGTAGCTACACCATGTAACAACGTTTCTCTTTTAAAGGTAGCAAGCGAGCAGAATAAATGTCTAATGTTAATGTTACTCTAAAATGACTGGGAAACACGAAGGTAACATTAACGAATGTTTGTGTTAAGCTAAGCGGAAACCCTTATGGTCTGACGTTCCCTTAAGCACTTCGGGAGTTTCAGTGGCAGGTAACAAAATCAAAATTTACAATATATCCAATAGGTAATTTGACACAGTATTCCCCCAACCCCTTTTTAAGAATGTCTGTTATCTGTTAACTTCAATTGTCATGTTCTGTAACCTTATTTTCCTCTCTGATTTTGGACAAACTGTACTGTGTTCTAGCCCAGAATATTATATGACATGTTGGAATCATACACTGCTTATAATTCTGGAAATTTAGCACCCACATATACAACTAGCTAGATTAAAAACTGTTTAGCAGAGATAAAATAATGTGCATCAAGTGGTCTTTACAAAACCACAAAACATGAAAAGTGTCTCTCCTTGCATCACCTTTGCTGTTATTTTTTATTTTTCTTATTGTCCACAAATAGGACTACCATGAAAGTACCAAAACCAACAGTGTTAATTATTTATTTGTTTAGCCCATCTTTAACTAGAAAGATGACTTCTTTATTATTATTTTTAAAGGTTCACTAATCAACAACAGCTTTAGCTACACAAACCGAACTTGTTAGTAGTCAGTTCAGTGGTGGTTTTGGCCTTTTCACTGGATTTGTTGACAATAAGAAAATTATAGAATATTACCAGGCTTAACCTTGATAAAACACAACAAATATTTTGCAGGAAAATGGAATAAAAGGATGGATATAAGTCAAAAAAGATGAAACACAAAGATCAGCATCCATTCAACAATGACATAAAAAACGGGAATGCAAAAGAAGCAGCAACAAAAGAAGCAGCAACCAACGAGGCAACTGACTTTAACCATGGTGAAGTAAATGCTTCAACTGGAAACCTCTCAAACACTGCCGACACTTGTCCAGGACAAGGCCCTACTCAACTTATTACTTGTCAAATGGAACACAGTAATGGTAATGAAGCAATGCTCACAAGGATGCTTCAAGCTCCTGCAGTTGATGCCCCTCAAAACAGAAAACAAATAATTCACAAGACTGTAAGCAGTTCACAGGATGCTGAGCCAGTAAAGCATATCCCAAATCTGGCCTCAGCTGTGAGAGTGACTGAACAACACACATCTCCTGCACAACCTAAGGACAAAAAGACCTGTACGCCAAAACCAATGCTCCAACAGGCCACACCTGCAAAACCAAGCACTGGACCATACTGTGGTGGGAAAGTAACTGCAGGAAAATTTGAACAGCAATTTCAGGATGTACCTGAAAAAGTAAGCCAGCAGCAGTCAAGACATTCAGCACCAGTGCAGCAACAGAAAAAAACTACAGCACCAGTACAGCAACAGGAAAACAAAAAGGTAATGTATGGTCATACTCAACCTAAGGAATCTAGAAATTTAAACCAGTCACAGCAGAGGCTTGCAGTAAAGGAAACCACAGAGGTACCACTACAGACAGTAAGGACTGTTGCACTGTGTGACCCGAGTATGAGGGCTACTGCAGACTCAGTCCAAGAAGTAAACCGGGCACTCTGCAGCACTACCTCACGTTGGGTAGAATGCAGGTGAGTTGAGTTCTTTGTATGCATTAATACATTTTATTAGAATTAATAAAAAACAAAAATACTAAGTGATACAATATAATGATGATACCAGCAATGTTGTCCTGCTTTATTCAGTGTTGTCCTCAACCTCGTTAAGACGCTGCGTAAAGTACTAACAGATTAATAGTTTAACAACCCATATTGTAGCACCCTTATTCTTGTGTAGATATATGTTCTGTATGTACTGTAGATTTGTAACATATGAACATGTGTGTGCCAACCTCACCAGTTTTGGGAGTAAAAAGCACCAAGAGATGAACCCTCAACTTATTGCCTCTGAAATGCAAGCACCTCTGCATACCTACAGAGAGGTGGTCAAAGATGTAACTACAGAAAACCTACACAACAAACCACCGAGTCAAAAATTCAATTGTGTGAACGAAGCAAGCAATGACTTTACCTGCCATGCAGCAAACAAGGCGAACAGCATTGCAGAGCGAAGCACAACAATACCAGGCACTGCTGAAATGCCTGTCGCCGAGTCTACAGAGCCACCAGACCATGCAGCACAAATGTTAAATCAGTCAATAGCTCACATCAAGAATGAGGAAAATGTACAATGCCTGAACCAAAACACTGACATCATAACAGTGGACTATCAATATTGTTTGAGGGTCAAATCAGAAATAACCCGTGCTAACACTACAAAAATGAGACTAAGACGGAAACTAGCAAAGAAATTAAAGGCTCAGACAAGAGAGGACCATAAGAGCTCCCAGCAAACAGCTGAAGACACTGTCACCACTGTGCAAGAGAGTTCACAGCAGCAAGGTTACGCTGCCATGGGAAAAACCAAAATCAAGAAACGCAATGAGCCACAACAAATACCTCAACCCAACAAAGCTGACAGTAACACCTATGGGAACACTTCATCTCACACGCAAAAAGTCAATGTAAAAGCACTAGCACCTGCCACACCAAAGGACCCACTTGTTGAAAGGAGGCCTACAACTGCCCCAAACAATGCTGCAACTCATAACCCAAGTGTCAAGTTGAGGCTCCAGCGTGAACTTAAGGTTTCCCTACCTTCAGATACTGCTGTTAAACCTAAGAAACAATGCGCATTCAAAGCATTAAATCAAAACCAACCTTATAATACAAGAAATGACCCTATGAAAGCAAACAGGAATGGTCAGGTTAAAAATGAAATACTGGAGCAAGGCATCACACCTGCAGTGCCTCCTGTACACAAAGTCCACGCTGAGTGCCGATGGTACCCGTTTACAGTGAATCGGGTCTGTCCCCATAAGGTTGACTGCCTGCATAATGGTGAGCTACACTTATAGCCGTTTTGTAGTTCAAACTCAAACATTATTAACGGTATTTTTGCTATCAGACATTCTGCAGTCCGTTTTGTTCTTCCTTGTATTTTCCTTTGTTCTGTCTTATACCACTGGTTAAAAATCAGTAAATGACATCTTTGCCCACTACTTCTACAGATCTGACGAATGCCCAAACTACCTGTATGGGCCTCCTTGGGTCACCAAAGAAAGATTTGCAGCTTGCTTAGCAATGACAAGACACAAAAGGAAGGACATTCTCGCCAATGAGAGAAGACACTTAAGATATGTTACATTAATCACCCACATTTTTTAATTTGTAAAAATACGTTATAGAGTTGTAGTGTAAAAAAAATAAATGAAACTCAATCATTCAAAAAGTTTATTTTCTGAATCCTTTATTGCAGACAAAGATTTGCATTGTAAGATCAACTGGATTACAAACCATCTAGGGAGGAAGAGGTATTACCATTTAGAAAACACTCACAAACTTCAATGGCATTTCTGTCAGTTGCTAGGATACAAGGCAAGGGCAATACATTTCTGTGAGCTCTACTAAGGAGAAAATCAACTTTGTATACAAAGGGGGGTAGGTTAAGTTGTGTTTATAGTGGTGGTGACTGTGATTAACTTTCTTGTAGTTGTAAAAGAGCTGAGACCCACAGGTAATGTAGCAGCTGGACTTATTTTGGTCACCAGCTGGACCCATAAAAAGTTCAACTTTTCAACCAGATGGCATCCTGGATAAAATTAACATTTAAATCTTTGTATGCAAATAAAAAGGTAGATGTGTAGAAATAGCTGAATCCGCTAGTCACCTGTCATACTTTTACTTTTGTTCCCCATCTTTTAACATGAAAGCAAACTGCCAGACAGGAAGACCTGCAGACAGGTTTAATAATACAGGAAAAATAATGGTTGGTGGATTATTGAGGTATGGGCAACAAATCAACCACTCTGGCAATCAATAAAGTCATATTCCTCAGGGAAATTGCATTTGAGCTGACTGGATGTATACTGGATCAGCAGCGTGTATGTCTGAGTGTGTCTGTACATGGTTGAGTGTGTTCCTGGGGGTGGATTACACAATCATTTCCAGCTGTCGTGCATATTCGATGACCTGTTGTGCCAGCTCTGTGGAGGGGATGGTCACCTCTTCTGTCCGCTGCTGTTGACTGGTGAAAGAGTAATAGCCATCTGGGCTCAGACTCCATCCCCTCTGAAATGAAATGAACAATCAGTTTGGGCTGTTTACCACTTTTATTCATTTTAGGAAAGAACCTAGGAAGGAATTTTGTTTCAATTTTAAAAATGTAATCACAAGAAAAACTTGTTGAAGAACAGCTGAAGGTTAAACGATAAGCAATCTACCATTCCAGTGACTGGCTGCTTTTTCCACCTAACCAAATTTTTTCATTGGCTTCTGTTTATTTAAATACTACTTATTGGACGACTAAGTAATCGATCCTATCCTGCATTGAGCCTTGTTTTAAAACCCTAACAGGGTTTTGCTGTTAAAGCTAATTACACTAATGACATGCCCTTTCGGGTTCAGCTAGCACAAGGTACAGTAATGCAGATGTTATGCATCCATGGAGATCCAAACATTTTCCCTATATTAGTAAGATATATTATGAAGAAACATGTCTAGTAGTAATGACGCCTACAATGTGAGATGCATCTTGGTAGGTACCAGCCCTCATGATAACCTCTCTTTTCTTCAGATAACTAAAAAATTAATAAGTTAGTTGCCACCAAACCTCGTACTGAAAATGTGAGTGGACACTCACACCATTATATTCATTTCAGCCTCAAAATACAATACAATTTTTTAAATTTTTTCTTTAAATCAGGAAGCAAATGTTTTCTTCTTGTAATCTCTGCATACTACTTAATTTGACATACAAATTCATTTTGCCTCCCAAATAAATATATACATACCTTCTTGGCATACTCTGTCATCTTTTTGGGGGAACTGAAGAAAAGCACACGGGTGGCTTCACTGAACTGGATCTGCTCATATGCTTTCTCTATGCAACCTGCAATCTCATCACTGCAATTGAAAAGACCACAGTTTAAATTATCTTTAAAAGACAATGTCATATCATCACCTGGTCTTCCTGATAATTAGAAAATAACTGAAATGAAGTTGATTCCTTTGCAGAGTCAATACTTTCTAGAGATCACTTACTATAGGAAAGAAAAGGAGGTTGTGTTTAATTGTCATCCATTTTGGCTAAAATCTTAGGTAGCATAAACAATTAGTACCGTAACTATGCTGAAGGTGCCATTTATCGATATATCGGGATAAGGTTGAATGAACTGTCAACCAGTCATGACATTCACTAGTATTTCCATGGTATTACACAAGCAAATTTTTTTAATCTCAAGATGCACTGGGACCTCAAAATAAATTTACAAAATAATTTTATAAGGAAAATAAACACGAGCATTGGTTATAAAGCACACAAAAAAGAAACGAGTGTAGAAATGATGAAACATGGTTATCATGTTGATTCTTACCGAATTGTGTCAAGCAGAATATCAATAAAAAAGGTGTAGCTCTCAGCAGGGATGTTGCCTTTGGCAAGAAACACCTTGTTGTAGCTTCCCTCCATTAAGTACTGAAAATGAGCAATATAATATATACATAACACATTACAGTGGTATTTACATACAAGGTATTATTGACACTGTGTTTATATTATATGTAAACATTGAATTCAACAGAGCCCTGCATCTGGGAAAACATTTACCAAGTCCTGCCAATTTATTTGTGCTTGTAACTTTGAAATCTAAATCAAACTTTATAAAGATAGATGTCTATTACCTGAGACATGTCTGCACACAGGAGTCAAACATGGCCAACTAAAAGTAAACATGGAGTACTGAAACGTCTACTGTAGTGCCAAAACTGTATAAATACAATGTTGAAATATCAAAAATAGAGGAAATATGATAATTTGATTCATCAGTTAATTCATCAATTAATTTTAAGGCACCACTACCCCAAAACAATGCTAGCCTTCCACTAACCCTCTGGGTGCTCCTCCCTAATTTTCTGGACTAGTCACAACAATCTGCAACCAATTGCCAGGGACAACAGAAGAAAAATTGTCTCCGGGCTAATTCTCGCATATTTACATTGCTAAAAAGCAAATACATTCATTAATATGCACTGTCCCTTTTAAATAAATAAATAAAAATAAATCCTTTTGCTCAAATAATGTAACGATACTAATTTAGGTAAATCAATTAAGAAATTCTACAACCCAATTTATTAATTTGTGGGTACAAATGTCAAAATATAATCCCTTGACACTCATAACAATGCAACATAAAGCCTTATGTTTATGACTTATGTGCTTTGTCTGGGGGTAAACTGCAGTACCTGCTCCAAGGACACTGGGTGTCTGATGTATACGTTGGTCTGAATATCTCGTGCACTCAGTCTCTCAAGTTCTGTGTGAAACTCAGACACACGGTTCTGTGAGAGCAGGAAGAGCAGGTTCAGTCCAAGTAACTGGTGCATGTAGGCAGCTTCAGGTAGTTCGTCCCTTAATAAGAAAGGTAAAGAAAGAGCAATGTTACAAAAACACACTTAGTAGAAAGTAACAAAATCCAACTATACAGGAAAAACCACGAAGGTGGCATTACTTGTAATCAAAGTAGTAACATTTTAGCTGGGCCATGTATCTCTCAAATGAAGGGATGTCCTTCTTGAGGATACTCCACAGGGCTCCAATTTCAAGGACATCGCCTAAAACACAGACACAAATCTTAATTGATAACTAATCCATGTTTTAAATGCATGTTGTCTGTCAACTTGACTTGCCACATATACTCACGAGCTAAAATGAGCTGCTGCTTTGTGAGCGCGGACCCACTGGTAGGTAAAAAGTTCAGCTCCAGTAATGAAACCTGTAAAGAGGAGTTGGGTGTCATTTTCTATAAAAATTTCAAACTTCACCTGTCACTTGTGTTATCCAAATTTGTAGCTCCTCCTACTACGGCACTGGGTTTTTGGAAAGTAAAACCATCGTCTGAACGATAGAATTTTAACATTAATATTTTAAAAAACAAAGAATTTTGTCTTCACTAACTATCATGTTAATGTTTGTTTTTGTTGTGTCAGCTCCAGATTGAAACTAGCTGGAGAATGAATTAGCGAACGATGACTTAACTGTTAACATTAGCAACACTGACAGTAATAATGATTTGTTTCCTGATTGTCGTAACAGAAATCCTAAAACGATTAAATTGCCTTTTCGGCAAAACTATAAAATGATGTTAACAAACTGACACTCAACGTTATTATCACAAAAGAAACATCATTGTAGGTGTCTAAAGGTTAATGGAAATACTCAAACTTACGCTCAAAATTAGCCTAGCTAGCCTAGATTAGCAAGCTTAGCTACATTTGCTAACAGCGCCGACGCATCTTAATATTAGCCAGCGTTCCTGCTTACAATAAAAATAGACAGTAAAAAGTGCGACTCTACCTTAAGTTTGGTTAGAAGTTCTCCACATTTACTCAGGTTTGGGTTTTTCTTGTTCCACTCTGCTTTCAGCGTCTCATACAACCCCGCAGTCTCTTTCAACGCCATGGTGATTCTGCAAAATCCACGACACCGGCCAACGGAATACGTTAAAGGACTGTCGTGAAACAGTCGTATTGGTTGCCATGGGCTGGCTGAGACAGGCGGCGGTTCAAGATGGCGGCATTCAGCGGTGAACGATGGCTAAATGATTTACCAAATCATGCAATTTTCAAAAACATACGAGAGAAGTTGGACTTGGAAGCTAACGCAAATGAAAGGGGGGTCGCTAAAAACCTTACCTTTTGTTTGGGTGGGGACTTTTTCGTGTGGGACGACGCCGACCGCGTGTTTTACACGACCAACTTGCGACAGCTAAACTCGGATGAGAGTCGCAGTAGCGGGAACTATCAAGCATTGCTGTGCATTAACCCTCCTCTTTTCGAAGTGTGCCAAGTGCTGCTAAGTCCAACGCAGCACCATGTCGCGCTCGTCGGGCAGCGAGGCGTCTCGGTGCTGGAGCTCCCTCAGCGGTGGGGCAAGAGGTCCGAGTTCGAGGGCGGAAGGAGCGAAATCAACTGCAAGACCATCCCGGTGGCAGAGCGCTTCTTCACCAGCTCACCGTCAGTGAAACTGCGGCAGGCGGCTTGGTACCCCAGCGAGACCGATGAGCCCCACTTGGTGCTGCTCACATCCGACAACACCATCAGGTTTTACGGCTTGAAGTCGCCCCAGACGCTGACCAAAGTCCTGCCAGTGTCGCAGTCGGAAGATGACAGCAGCGTCCATCATCCAGTCCGTTCATATGCAGCATCTCTAGGCGAGATAGCAGTGGCGTTTGACTTTGGGCCGATTTCGTCCCCCCATCGGAAGCTGGCAGCACAGTGCTCCAAAGAACAGCTGGTCTACCCTCTGTACATCCTCTACGAAAATGGGGAGACGTATGTGAGCTACACGAGCCAGGCAAACGGCGTGAGTCTAAGTAAACCCGTTGGACCCCTTCCGATGTATCCTGCAGCAGAGGATAACTATGGCTATGATGCTTGTGCCATTCTCTGCCTGCCATGTGTGCCCAGCATCCTGGTCATCGCTACTGAAACAGGCACGCTGTATCACTGTGTGGTGCTGGAGTCTGATGAAGAGGATGAGACAGGGGCAGTGGAGAAGTGGATCCGGGGAACAGAGGCAGTGCCTGCTCTCTATGTATTTGAGTGTGTTGAGCTAGAGCTCACCCTTAAAGTAGCCACAGGAGAGGATGAGGAGCCTCAAGAGTTTGATTTCACCTGTCCAATCAGACTGCACAGAGACCCCTTGTGTGAGCACAGGTATCACTGCACCCACGAAGCAGGAGTGCACAGTGTGGGTCTAATCTGGGTCAACAAGCTGCAGAAGTTCCTGCGGTCAGATGAGGAGGATAAGGACAGTATCCAGGAGCTGGCTGCTGAGAAGCGCTGTATTGTAGAACACATTCTTTGTACCAGACCACTTCTAACCAATCGGTCAGCTCCAATTCGTGGCTTTTTGATTGTGTCTGACCTTTCCTTGGGCGCCACTATGATCTGCATTACCAGCACCTATGAGTGCATCCTTTTGCCCCTGCTGAGCTCCATTCGCCCTCCCTCTCCTCCCCTGCTTTGTTCCCATCCAGGTCCAGGCTCTGGAAGCTCCCCTCTGCGTGGGCTGGCTGACGACTCCTTCGAGCAGCACATCCGCAACATCCTGGTACGTAGCTCTACCAATCCTCTCGTACTTAAGGCTGGGGACAAGGACACGTCACCACCACCTCCAGAGTGTCTGCAGCTCCTTAGCAGAGCCACACAGGTCTTCCATGAGGAGTACATTCTCAAGCAGGACATGGCCCGTGAAGAGATGCAGAGAAGGGTAAAACTCCTGACAGGTCAGAAGAAAAAGCAGCTGGAAGAGTTGTCTCTGTGCAGGGAGGAGAGGATGAGTCTGAGAGAGGCAGCAGAGAGGCTGGCTGATAAGTACGAAGATGCAAAGTATCGTCAGGAAACCATCATGAACAGGGTTAAAAAAGTGCTGGGCAGCCTGCAAAGCCAACTACCCATACTGTCAAACAGTGAAAAGGACATGAAGAGGGAGCTGCAGACCATTGGCGATCAGCTGAAACACTTGGACAACCTCATCAGACAGGTGAAGATGAAGATGGAGTACCAGAAGAAACAAGTGGACAAGGATGTGCCTGCAGCCAGGACAACAGTTTCACTCAATGCCCACCAGAAGAAGGTTGTTCAAGATGTGATCCGCGAACAGGGACAGCAAATTGGTGACATGATGAAACAGATCAAAGACATCAAAAACCATTTCAGTTTCTAAGCACTGCAGAAATCACTAAAATTGTATTGCAAACTATTGGGGGACATTATTCAAATGATGTTTTGAATACTGTTATTGAATTGAATTTTGTGACATTTGATGAGAAACTGGAATGAGTGCTTTTGTCATAAGTTCATGTGCCATGAATGGGTATTGGAATGAAAACATTTTATATACGCTGATATAACTTTACCTTTGATACTACATGTTGTTTGCCTCTTAATAGGGATACGATAGGTTTGCCTTCCTGTCATGCATAAAGTTTTGCTTTTTTTTCAGTATTTTTAAGTGTTAAGAGTTTGAGTCAGTGATTTAGTCAGCGCAGAATATAACATGTATAGGCAGGTAAAATGGGAAATATTTTGATGAATATATTTAGCATATACATTTTCAACATGGTTTGCTCCCTTTTTGGATTAATAATAAAACTTAAAGTTCTCTGTAACTGTCTTTACTCGTTTGTGACAAATTACATTAGCCTTTTACTATTGTCCAAGATAAATGCAATTTTAAGTGAATTAAAAACACATTGACTTAAATAAAATCATACTAAAATAAAAATGTACATCAAAAATACAACATACAAAAAAAGGGTAGAGAAAGGGCGGTTAAAGGATAGGTTCACATTTTTGTTAAATGCTTTGTGCATTGTAATTTGTCCTTTTGTCCATAATGCAACAAGAGATCCCTTCCTAACTCCAAACGAGATAGGGGTCAGAATCCTCCATCTTTATTACGCCCTGCTTTGTGTATTGTAAATGCATATTTAAATTCAACTGAAGCTTCAGAAGTCTGATTTGACTAACTCTGAAGGCTTTTATTAGTTTCAGCTGAACATTAAAATGTTTTGCACAAAAGGAGGAACCACATCGTGGATCACTTCAGGAGGAACCATTACAGCAACATTTCCACCATACAGTATGTGCACACTGTCCTTTAATGCACATGCCTCCAGTCTGCCATCTACAGTTGGACACTCTTGTGTACAGTTTGTGTAAGGTTGCCAGGAATCCTGTATCCACCAGATGTCACCCCTCTCCAGAGTTGATGACCTCAGTATTTTTTCCACAGCAGGTTTGCTAGTGAGGAATTCCCCACATAAACACTGGGTGACGTATATGGAGACCCCGGTTTCGTTGAGTAAGCTTCATTGTTAGGGATGTCTGATGTTGGTGGGGATGCTGTGCTGTAGTGTAGGCCTGCCTGCAAGTTTCACCCCCTTTCTGTGGCAGCACTGCAAAGCTTCATTTGAGCAACACATGTTTGAGATGATTTATGACTCAGCACAGCCTAATTATGTAACAGATGGGCATTGTTCAAACTGCTATGGGGATTTTTTATCCATCTGTCTAAAATGCAATCTAGCAGTAACTTAAAAATATACAAGAAGCAAGCAAAGTCAGTTTATAGTAAAGAAACTCCATAAGACCATTTCAGCTGTCCTCAGTGAATTTTGTCACCTTGACTTTTTCACATATTACCTCCCTCTTTCTCTCTCACACACAAATGAAGAGGAGAAGGCGTGGTGTGCTGCAGGTCTAACTCAGGAACACTCCAAATAGGGATATGTTGTTAAAGTCTTTCATAAAGGTACAGTGTCTAGATCCTGTGCATGAGCCTGAGGAAACTTAGTGGACCCTAGGAAAGGAGATATTAATAACTCTTAGACCAGCCCACCACATTCTTCACATGTGAGTCACTATAAACCAGTGAGCAAGGAGGAAAGGGCTGCTTTGCCTCTGTTTCTCATTTGTGTTTCTTTCCATGGAGGAGTGGAACAGGGAGGCGGGGAGGCCACTCCTTCTGCAAACCTTAAAAGCCTTATGTGAAACACGCACAGTTCTACGTGGAATACATATTTGTGCTTATACCGCATAGTTTACACAGGATTAAACCAAACCGATTTACAGGCGTGCTAATGAGAGAGTGAATATAGAACTTAACAGGAAAGAAGGGGACTGGACTGTGTTTAACTGCGAGTGTGTTAAAGAGAGAGAGGCAGAGAAAGGTCTTCAGTTGGTGGGAATGATGGGAGAGCCTCGGAAAATGGTGGTATGGGGACTTGGCAGGGGAGAGTGTGACTCACTGTTTTTGTGGTCTGTCACTGAGAGACCAAGTGAGCTTGATAGAAAAGAAAATCTTTTCAAAAGATTGCCAAATGAAATGCACTCAACAACTGGTTCTATGTCCTGAGCTTTGTTATGCTGAGCTATGTTTCACTGTATCCATTTTTCATAACCAAATATTTTAGTTACTTTCAAGCTTTGAACTTTTACTTACAAAGGGGTCACTCAAGAGACAAGACACAGTCAGGGAATTTTATTTTGGTTACAAATATAGTTAACAGTTGGTGGAGATGTGTACAGTAGTCAGTAATATATCAATCATTCAGTCTAGTTGAAATGTTTATCTCAGCATGTCATATTCTTTTATGACTGAGATATTGTTCCTGCACATATAAAACAACAGCAACAATTACAAAAATAATATATAGTATCTGCACAAAATTGTGGCATGTAAAGCATCAAAGTGAAATGCAGGTTATTAGATTTGTGCTGCCAGTTTGAGTTTAAAATGCTATAAACAAGCAATATAAGTCTTGTAAATACACTTGTAGATGATACCCTCACTCGAATTACAAATTATTACCAAGATAATATTTGCCAGTCCAATCTAGTCACTGAATGAATGTTGAATTTAAAGGATTTAATACAGAAAACCTTTCCTATGTTTTCAGTAAAATCTATGTTGAAAAATGCTCACTTAGAGGCTGCCAGCCTTTATTTATTTCTGCTCAGCAAACACAAGTAGGTATATTTTTAATGCTCATCATAAAAAGCTAACTTTGAGAAGCCAAATGGAAGAAGCACCCAGACCCGTGTGACTTCATAATACACAATCTTTTGCAGTAAGGCCTTGTTGTAGTCTCAAAGGATTGACTTAAACTTTAATACAGTACGGTCCATTGTGCAAGACCAAATTGGTCTCAGAGGAAAAGTTGAACGCATTACATACAACTTTTTGGGTCATGGGTGTGGAGAAAAATAGGAGCAAACACTAACAGTAGCATAAGTGTGAAAGCCAATAGAGAAGAGTATCTCTCAGCTCCAGGGACTTTGTGACATGTCTATGCATCAGAACCCTTCTGCCTGCGTTTGGAGGGCGGGATCAGACGTGTAGGAAGCTCAGGGGGTAGACCATGGCCCTCCAGCTTAACCTCAATCAGGTGGCTGGCCAGAGCAAATTCTTCATCATCCAGCATGCCATCGTGGTCCACATCCGACAGCTTCCAGATGCGACCCAGCACCGAGTTGGGCAGGCGGGAGCTCACCATCCAGTCCTTAGCCTTGATGCCACTCAGTTTCCCCTCATTGGGAGCGAGGTTATAGAAGATTTCATCATATTTGGGCTTGTCTTTGGTCACGACCCAATCATCCTCCTCTTCACATCCCTCTCCATTCTCCTCTGCAAAGGGGTCACCCTCATTGAAGGGTCCGGCTCGGTTCCCAATGAAGGCTCCACCCTGCACCCCTAGTTGCTCACCTGCTTCCAGCTCCTCCTGCCGCAGGAGAGGCATGAGTTTTGCAATGTCGGCGGAGAGCAACTCATCCAAGGCTGCCATTAGATTAGGCTTCACGGTTTTGAACTTTGTGAAATCATGAACCATCAGTTGCTCCTTTACAAAGGGAATGATAAAAATTAGCCACAAGATCTCAGCTCATGATTTCAGCTGTGCCCATTAGTGAAAACAAACAGACTCAGACTAACCTGCATCTTGGCACAATCTGGGAAGTCTCCAGCAGAAATGTTTTGCTGCAGCTGGATCTTGGAGAAAATAACTGGCAACTGGTAGATCAGATTCTTCTTTTTATTGTCCTTTCTGAAGACAGAAGGCATCTCCTGCTTCAGATAGCTGATGATGTGGGCATGGACCTGGGATTAAAAATTAAAAATATTTTTCCACCAAGGTTTTAACACAACTAACATGATTAGAGTGCAGAAATGTCAAGCTGTAAATCATAATTTAATAAGCACGTCAACATGTCAATAAAACCCACCCTAACTAGACGTGCCCTCTTGACCAGGTCATTCAGCTTGCGTAAAGCTGCATTGCGAGGAAGGTTCTGGATGTCAGCGAACAGATCTTCCTCCTCCAACTCAAACAGCTTACGGTTGTCTGTAACCATCAGCGGCTCTGACCAGAAGGAGCCGATGTAGACGCGCAGAACCTCAGGGGTGCCAAACACCTTTCCCAGGGACCACATGAGTGCACCGTACACCCGCATCAGCTGCTGGGTGCCCACCATATCTGCCTTGTTGAGCACCACACGTAGCTTGTCCTCATTACCTTTCAGGGCACCGATGGCCTCGGAGAACTCGTCTGATATCTCCAGTTTATGGGCATCAAACAGCAGTATGATGCGGTCCACGCGCTCTGCAAACCAGCGCAGCACAGCTGGGAAGTCATAGCCTGTTTGAAGAGAAAAAGGTTGAGTAAGTTATTCATAGACCCAAGTGAGCAGTAAGCACTAAACAAAAAAAAGAGGGCAGGAGAGGGGAGAAGGTCGACATAGACACAAACCCTTCACACTTCTTCTGGATCTGTCAAATCCACTTCAGCTGTACATTCAGGGCTTCACTTAATGCAAAATACCACTTTCTAAAAACAACTCTCTCCCTGTTCACATGTAAAATACCAGTTTACAGGTGATCTCTTCATCTGTATTAACACAGTCATACTAAAATAGTCAGTTCACCCAAATTACAAAAAATATATTTTCTCACTTTCCCCAGTGCTATATAGTAGATAGATTTGGTTTTTCAGTTGACTTTTGTCTGGTACTCACAACATTATTTAAAAAATTAACAGCATCATCTTTTCAAAATTGATGTCCCAGTAACTCCCACAAACTTCACTGTGAGCAGTTTGCATTGGAACTACAACTTACCAAAGCAATAGTTTGGATTATCCAGAGAAATAAGTACTCTCTCTCTCTCTGAGAAGACTTGTTGATGCTGAATTTTAAATATGTAATTTATCAGTGCTGTGAAAGCCACAAACAGCATTCCATTCACCTCCACTGTATTTGGGTGGAGGCAGAAATCTCACAGACAAATAAATTTCAAAACCTCGGCAAAAAAAATCGTCATGATACCACTGGATGCACTGACTCTTTAAACTTGTTAGTTGCTCATGCAGAATGACTTGAGTAATAATAGGTTACTTAAAGCATGGATGAATAGAAAAGTGAAAAACTACTGTGAGATGATGGTGATAGTTATTTCTCAGTAACAGTACATTCTTCAAGATGTGCTGACAGAATTTTGTCTGTACTATCTCTGTTCCTGATTATGATTTTATGGCTGCTCAGTGTACATCTGATGTTTTTTTTTTGCCCTGCTGCCAAGTGTTATTGTGACAGAGCAAACTGGTCCCATGAGTTAGCCAGGCGTGCCAAGGAGATGAGTTTGTGAGCCGACGTTCAGGGAAGTGCGTCTCTGCAGGCCCCCCATGCCCTCTCCTCACCTTTGCCACCTTTGCCACCTCTCTCACCTCGGCTCACTCTCTGCTTAGCACCAGACAGGATCCCCGGTGTGTCAATAATGCTGATGCTCTCCAGGACCTGGTTGGGCATCTGGGCACACTGAAACCTGGTATTTTCATCAGCAGACAGAAGAAAAGTCACATAAACAATGACACACAAGTTCAAAGAGGGCAAATATGTTTCATACACTCTCAGTGTAGAAGGAAATAGTCTAAATCATGTGAAAAAATGGTTAACTCTTATTAAAGAAGCCAGTGTGATCTAAGGGGCAGATTAGAAGCTGCTCTTTCCACACACCCCCCTCACCCTCCTACTGCAGGCCATTGTGTGCAAGCAGGCCTCACATTGCTATGAGCTTCCTGAAGGAAAATGACCACTTCTGCCAGAATCAAACAATAAGGCCTGCTAATGATGTGTGGCTTAGAACAACAACACCACTTCCTGTGGCGTAAAAGCTTAACGAGCCCACCGTTCCCAGAACAGGAAGTCAAAGCAAAAGAAGAGATGCAAATACGTTTGCAAACACACCCTGCAGAGGGACTGCTGGAAAACTGGCATGTTTAGAGCGCCATTAATGGTAGCAATGTTTCTATCACATGTCTATCTGCATGTTCATGTTTCTAGCAGCTAACAGCACTCTATTGTAAAACATGTGACTTCATTCTTAGTTTACATCAGTGGAAAAACACAGAAATCTGGCGGCCCAGACAGTAAACAGAGTAGAGGAAAGAACTTCGCTGTTAAGGTTTCTCTTACAAGTTCCCTAAGCCTTGCAAAGTCTGTGACTTCATTTATTTGTCTTTGCCCCGAGAGGCTGTGTATCCCCCTGACCTCGTCTTTGAACTTGTGTACATTGCAGTTCCTGTCTGAGCACATTAGCTTTCATCACCCTCTCGGGTGATATCGCTCCCTTTCTCCGTTTTTCCACAAATAAGGCAAGTGCCTCCCTGCTCTGAAATTTGGCACAAGGACTTGAAATTCCAAAGAGCTAAAAAACTTTCTGTTTTCTCTCCTTCCCTGTTTTCATGCCTTGGATTCTCTCACACAGTCAGTCCATTGTTTTTTTTATTATTATCATTCTTTTTTTTGGCATTTCTGCTTTATTTGATAGTCACAGTAGAGACAGACAGGAAAGGCAGGTGAAATAGAGAGGGGATATCATGCAGCAAAGGGCCCAAGCCCCAGTCTGTCTGCTCTGCAATCATTACACAACGCACTGTGAATACAGTCCCTGTTCTCACCTGTTGAGGAAGGTGTTTCCAAAAGGGTTGAGTTTGCGGAAAGGCTTGTTGGGGTCTACAATAAGGGCGTTCCCAGGGATGACTCCCTCCACCTCCCCATGCATGATGGCTGTGAAGCAGTCAGTGGTGGGTTCAGGTCCCACCCTGCTTCCAGGAATATCCTGCTCCAGTAGATACCTATCAGTCACACATAGAGCTTGTGATTTTTTCAGTAACTTACTGGTAAACTTAGCAATCACACACAATCTAACAGTGAACAAATCTTTGATGCTAGGCTGTAATGTCTTACTTGATGAATGTTGTTTTTCCAGTAGAGTACTGTCCCACCACCAGCACCATAGGCTTGTTGTCAAAGTCTGCGTCCTCCAGACTGGGAGAGTGGAAGTCATGGAAACCATAGTACTGCTCCAGAGGCAGCAGCTTCTTACGATACAAAGACTTGAGCCCTTCTGTCACAGTGCGGATCACCTCAGGCGCCTTCTTCACATTTTTTCGCCCCCAGCGTGACATGTTGATTGACTAACAAGATGATAGAGAGCTTCTTATAAAAAAATCTGTGTCAGAGTATATCTGTTGTTTGGAGCTGTATTTCCTGTGGCTGAACCTTCAGGTGTTTCCTGTATTTATGTGAATGCTGCTCACTTGTCCTTGAAACCTCCTCTGCAGACACCAAGGGGAACGATAGGGCTGCTGTTTCGTTTGAAGTCTGGATCTTCCCGTTTGAAAACAGTCACCACACTGATAACGTTTAACCCCTGTAATGTGGACAGAATATGAGACAAGAGGAGATTAATCCAAATAGAAAAAAAAGATTCCAAATAGCAAAGTTTCTTAGTGTTCTTGCACCTGGTGATCAAAGTCTGACACAACCTAGAGTAAGGATGTGGAATCTGGAGTAAGCCCACCAGGAGTCTGCCAAGCATTATCCGAGCATGCCTGGAAAAAGTTGGTGTTCACACTGGAAAACTCGCAAACCCAGCCCTGCGTCAGGATTTGCACAGGGATAGCTCATTTCTATACAGTGAAATGAGTAAGACATTCCTTTTATCCTCTGCAGTTCCTCTCAGTGGATGGCTCAGTTGTTCATGTAAGGAAAAGAGATTGTAGAGAGTAGGCTATATATGGAAAAACAAATGTAACCCTTGAGCAACAATCTGTCTTTTTTTAACCGTAGTCTACAGAAACACTGGATTATGAATTAAAGGCATACCTCATTACTAGAAGCAGACTGACACAAAGGTTAGACATGAACTCATCTGAGGAGAGCTTCTCTCTTACAAATCCCATTTAAACAGGGATAAAAAAAAAAAAAAACTGCCCAGAGGAGAATAGGCAACCCAGTCCTGACATGTCACAAGACCAGTGTGGAAAGATTTGTCAAAATGGCGAACCCTGGAGATCTACAGGAGAGACATTAAATTTGATTTCACTGCCATTACATACATAATTACCGTGACAGCCAATTTGTATGAGTAAAAGTTGCTTTAGAGGCTTGCTGTCAGAATCAAAGGTTTGGTTAAGGCTCTGGGATCAATTCCTAAAGTATAAGGATGGTGGAAAATGCCTTGTGGGTTTGTACACCACAATTGCAACACAATTTTGGACTTACACAAAAAATGTAACATGCAGGAGCAACAAGCATCAAGAGAGTCATACATAATATCCAAATGAAGAAATGGAAAAAAAAAAAAACATCTTCAAAAAGATATGCGAGTTTCCAAGTGTAAGTAAGTAGTGTGATCTTTGCACTTATCAAACACCATCAACTCTACTGTATCACAATCGGACTAAGTTTGAGTAAAAGTTAAAATACTAGCTGATCATTATAACCATATTTAAAGTGTAAAAAGCAGTATTTACCACGTAATTATGGAGAAAGCACAGACTTCTTCAACACCTTGATCACTCTTTCCCTCCAGTCTTTCCGTTTGGAGATTGGAAAATATTTTGACTTGAGAAGACAAAAACAGTCTCTTGGAGGAGCTGCAGCAACATGTACGGGTGTACCTCTGACAGCAAATAGGAACCCTCAGTGGAGCGCCAACGCAGCTAGATTATAGAGGATCGTTCTTCTTCAGGGTTTAATGCATTTCAGATGAGCTCCAAATCTGGCAAGGGTCCTTACTCTGCTCGCTGAAAGAGAACAAGGCAAACACTAACACACACACTTTTCTCTCCCCTTGCTCGCTTCTCCTAGTTTAATGCACCTCCTCTTCCAGGGATGCCTTGCAACACTGTGAGCAGAACTAACACTATGCTCAATACAGGGATGAGCTGAGCTGTGGTCAGAGGGCGTGGACCTGAAGGAGGGGGGTTGTGAATAAATAATTTGGGTGGAGTCATTTTTTTTTAACATGACATAACATCATAGTGTCCTTATGCATATTTTGAGCAGTAAACATCTCATGCTGCACCCTTCTAGCTGTGGCCTCTCACTCACGTTTTTTATTTTCCTTACTCGACCTACTGTAACATGCCATACGTTTACAGATGTGACAGTTTTTTCCTTCATCAGTCTAAACTCTCTTGCTCCTCCCAAACTGGGAACCCTCCAGGCGATGAAGCACACAAGCCAGCTCTACTTTTCCACTTCCATGCTCCACCTGCTGGCTGTTCGATCACACCCCACCAATGCCACCATCCCCCCTCCTGACTATCTTACAGTACTACAGTCATCATTAGTCACCCAAAGGAATGTACCATGGACCAGGAATCACTAAACCGCTAAACCACTGGACAAATGACTAGAGGACCTGCAATGTTTCATAAAAGAAGCAAGGTTTAATTTACAGTTTTACTAAATGTACATTTCTTTTTAAAAAGTGTCATTATACACAATAAATACAATACAAAATTAATCTGTAATACTATACTTCAAATTCTCTTACGGTCTTTTTGTACATTATTATTGTTCCTTTTTTTCCATTTCAATGCTTGTGCTGCATTTGTGTTTGAATTGTCCACCAGGCTTAAAAAAAAGATGCCAAAAAAGAAAAACTCACATGGGAGGCAGGGATACAGTGGCAGAAAGATGAAACAGACAGACTAAACGCACAGAAAATCAACAGTTAAAAGCCTAGCCTGCCCCCTGCTGACTTGAAATGCATAAAGTCCTAACCTGGCATCATCAGCAACAGAGGGCGTGTGTGGAGGCGTGGTCTAAAAACAAGAACCAGGAAAATCATGAAATTAGAAGCAACATTTCATTTACATCTTCGCCGTACCCAAAGAGCAGTCAAAAGTAAAACTTTTCAAAATTATTTTCTCAACATGTTTTATTTTAAAATGTACCTGGCAAACGTAGGTTCAGGTTAATTAATTTTGCCAGTTGCAGACAGAGCAGTTGCCTTCTGAGCAATGTAACCGAGTCGGATTTATTTATTGTCTACATAAATGTATTCTTGACACACAGGTGGACTGTCATTTTAGCATGTGCTGTTTGCATCTGTAGGGCAGCATTATCTTTATAATTTAAGATAATCAAATTTAGCGGGTAAAGAAAGACTAAATAAAAGATGTACTCTGATGTTTTACGCTCTGAACCTGGTTGTATTCTCTTCTACCTCTCAGCTGCATGTAGCCAAGTTACAGAAAGCTGTTGACTTCTGATCTGTTTAAACAAGTTGCCTGATGCGTTCACTGGGACATTGTTTAAACCAGGAGATGAGCTGCTATCGATAGAGACTGGTGCTCAGGCCACATGAAAGGAATGTATGACTACTGAATGAGAAAAAGAAAAGATCAAAAGGTGAAAGACGAAAGGTGAAAAGGAAGAAAGAAATAGAGAACAACCTCTGACTATTTCATTTTGTTACTCAAGCTTGGCTGAGAGATCACATACAACACGCCATATCTTCAAGTCTGAAATTCAAAGTCAGTTTTACCTTCCACCACACTCTTTTTACCTTTGGTCTACCTCAGGCTATAAATGACAAAGAAATGTCTGGACAATTCAAATGGACAAAAAAAAAACGCAACACAGCGTGGCAGAATAGTACAGTGATACTGTTTTCACAGTGCCCCTTCCCCTGCCTCCAAATCTGTCTCTTAGTTCTCCCGTCATTCGTGCCTGTGGCTGAGGGGCTGTTATCTGCTTTGAGTCTGGGGCACTAGGCTGCCATTGTGGCCACGGCCACCGACCTGAGGGTGCTGGGCCAAGGCGGAGGACGAGGAAGCGGAGGAGGGTGGGACTGAGGGTCTGTGGGATGAGGCTGCCGAGCCCCCTGGGCGCTGGCTTTGGTGTTGGTGGGACCTGCTGTTACCCCCTTTAATGTGGTGCCCGCGGGCAGAGGGCTCCTGCTGCAGGTTTAGGATGCTGTCGATGGCGCATTGCAGGTGCTCGTTCAGAGAGTCGTCTGGAGGGCTGCCGCTGGAGAAGCTGGCGTTATCCATGTCAGGGGAGTCTGACTTGCAGCGTTTGGCAGGAAGCAAAGAGTCTCGTGTGAAGGAGGACTCCGGAGAGGGAGGCCCAGGGGCATGCTGGTCCATTCTGAATGTCCCCGCTGCCCTATGTCTATTTTTTCCACTCATCCTCTTGTATTTACTTACATCTGTCTCTTGGTCTGCAAGCTCCTCTCCTCTCTCCTTTGCCCCTTCCCGGTCTAAGAGTGGTGGGAGATGGTGGTGTGTGGTTTTGATACCACGGTTAAACACGTCGTCCATTTCGTCCAACCCCTGCATTGCACTCTCTAAATGGCCTGTTTCGTGGCTCGACTCTGTGTGAGTGTGTGAGGCCTCCCTGCCTCTTTTCTCCACCTTCACACTGGCAATGACTGTCCGCTCTGAGGGAGGAGATGAGGCCTTGTGCCTGGGGGGTGACGGTGTGGGTCTGGGGTAGGACAAGCTCTCGTCTCCTCCCCCTGGGACGCCAGGTCTGACCCGGGGACTAATATTTTCCCGGTAGGTTTTCCGAAGGGGGAGACGGCAGGTTGTCTGTGAGGGAGTGGCAGTGGAGGCAGAATTGTGTTTGACCCCACCCACATCGTGGTGATCCAATGTTCCATTCATTTGAGTGGAGGAGGATGATGACGACAATGACCAAGTATGAGAGGAAGAGGTAGAGGAAGATGGGACTGCACTGGGGGGAACATTACCTCTCAGAGGCGGGTTACACTGAGTGGTTGCTATGGTGACTGATGAGGCAGAAGAAGCAGTGCATACGGGGGACTGAGTCCTGATCACTGTAGTAGGAGGATTTGATAAAAGGTGGGACTTTGGGTGTGGTACAGCTTCAAACTGAGGCTGAGTCTGAGGCTGGGATATAGACTGACTGCTCTGCTGAGGTTGAGGTGTGTGCACTGGGTCTAAGGCAGTGTTGTGGACAACCTTACTGAACCCCGTTTGATCCTGCTTGATCTTTAGCTTCAAGCCAATTCGCCTGCGAGCCTCATAGGTCTTCATAGGCGGTTTGCTGGTTCTTTGTGGGAGTGCGTCATCGTCATCAGCTGCTTGAGAGTTGAGGGACGAAGAGGAGAAAGAGGATGATGCTGCTGGAGCCCGACTGAAGGAGGAGCTCTGGCTGGTGGGTTCGGCCACCAGCCTGCCTGCTGAAACTGGCGGTGGGGGACAGCTGCTGGACCAGGACACAGAGGCTCCCCCTCCACCCTGCTTTATTACTAGTTTGGTGGGGGGGAAAGGTGTGGTGGAAGGGGTGGCAGGAGGAGCTGGGGCTGGGGCTGGAGCTGGGGCTGGAGCTGGAGCTGGAGCTGGAGCTGGGGCTGGGGCTGGAGCTGGGGCTGGGGCTGGGGCTGGGGCTGGGGCTGGGGCTGGTGCAGAAACAGGGTTTGGAGCAATGTTTGGAAGAGGGGCTGGGGTAGGAGCTGCAGGTGCTGGAGCAGGGACAGCAGCAGCTACATCTCCACTCACTGAGGTGGGCTCAGCAGCTGATGACTTCTGTTGGGACGAAACCACACTCTCCAACATGCGCGCGTTTGCAACAAACTCCTCTGCAATTAAATAAACATATTTATATTATAAGCACATTAACATACATCTAATTTAGACAAAACCATGTATGACCACAGACAGTGGCAGGGTACCTGGTCTCTCCTTGGCCAAAATCCGGTCCTGACTCAAGGCAATCTTCTCCTCCTGAATGAACATCCGGTCAATCATAACCATCTCTGCTGAGGGGCCCAGTCTCTGCTCAGGTTCAAACACCAAAAACCATCAGTTCAAAATCAATTCAGGACAAAGAAGACAACAAGAAGGCATATGGTGAGAATGCTGGTGTATAAACTTACTTTTGACTCTGCAAAGAGCAGGTGGCGATATTTATCTAGCATGGCCTGGGTCCTTTTCAGCAGATGGCAGGAGACCGTCTCAAATTCATCATCCACTGTGCACAAGAGAACCAAGATGTTCATGAAGATTGTTAAATTTGGAAAAAGGTACTAAACTGTATATGAGCTATACTAGAGGACATGGAGTTTGGTACCTCTTTGATAATCTTGAGAAGAGTTGGCAGTTCCCTGGTAGAGATGGTAAGGCAGCAGTCTGTGCAGTGTGTCCTCAAAAGAGTGGAAAGGAGCACTGTAGTTTGGGTGAAGCACGGAACCCTGCTGTTTCCTTAGTTGTTCCAGCATCCTGCAGTAAGGTGTGTTTAAAAAATACTATTACCAAAAATGGCATTATGACAAAGTTAAAATAAGCCATTAAAATGCATGCGACAGCTACCTGGCTTCTTTGCTTGGCTCTGCACTGAAAGGCATCTTCATTGTTGCGGTCTGTGATGTGAATAAATATAAAAAAACAAGGATTAAACCTTTAGACTGAAGATTAAATATTAAAGACAGTTTTTTCTGACCCCACTAACATACAGGGATACTACTTTACCTGAGTTTGTACAGGAGCTGGGGGCTGTGGAGCAGGCATTTGAGTCAGACTAGCTCCTACGACCTGTATCTGCATTCCACCTGTCCCTAGAGTCATCCCTCCAACTGAGCTGATCACCCCTGGCTTTGGCTGAACCTTAAATCAGAAAGAAGGTTAGACACTGACAAAATACATGAAAGAAAAAAAACAAACAAAAAAACTTCAGCATTGAATGGTGGGAAATGTACAACTAACACACAATGCACAATAACCACCGAGTCCTAGGAGGAATTGCCTTTGTGATGTAACCTACCTGTGCAGGCTGGGTAAGGCTGGCAGGAGTGACAGTCTGATTCACCATGGCTCCAGTTGACCCTTGGGCTCCTGAGAATACCTGTAAGTCACTTGATGCTAAAACAAGAGGAAA